CGTAATAAGATACGACGTAGCGATCGGGAACCCTGGACAGTTTTAATATTTTTACGATTGACATTTGTCAATATATATGATGGACATATATTTTAGTTATTTTAAAGTGAAGACAAGGCATACAATGTACTAGTTTGACGTGAATTGAGTAGCACCTGAAGATGGCATTCTTATGCCGAAACATGTAGTGAAAGTGAAAGAAGAAGATAGATAAGTGTATGCACTGCAAGACGGAATAAACAGTTCATGGATTATTTTAAAGAGTGATGTGAATCCAAGGGAATAAAATGAGCTTCTTAGGTTACATCATAAGACCAGTGATTGATGACTGTAGTAAAGAATGCCATGGTACAAAGAACCCAGTGTAATGCCTCTACCTGCTCACTTGAATCTCTTTCCTGGCCAACAAACCAATTAGGCTTGGCCTGTTGTGATCCAGTCCTGTTCATATATAGAGGCTGGATTCTGTTGAGTGTAAATCATTCATGTGCTAGAACATGACATAGGCATGAAAAATATTTGATTTTTGGCACTTTCAGTTTCATGTGTTGGGCATAGAAGTCTGTCCTGCAAGTGTTGGTCATTTTGTGTGAAACATTGTGACAGTCCTTGCATGCCTGTAGCGCTGTGCTTGACAGTGAAGGGTCAAGAAGTTAATGCCCTCTGTTTGAATACCTTAACAGACCTATCCTGGCTCTGAGGGTGCAGTTCTTGTGCGATCCCCATCAAAAGAAGCCGGTTTGAGCAGCCACCCAGCACGCAAGTTTGTGATGGACTTTCTGCGGGTGATTGTAGTGGATTCTCTGTCACTCCCTGTGTCAGGAAAGGGTCCACCAGCCATTGACCTTGTCCTAGAATCGTCTCCTGATACTGCAAGTGTGTCCCAGCATACTCGCTTCCAGACAGAAGTCCTAGGCACCCTGATGGAGCACCTTCTTGCTGCTGATGTGCTGATTGGTGAACAGGCTGCTTTACCGGTAGTGCCTGGCGGAAGTCTGCAGTATATTGCACCTAATGTCTGCTACCTGGCTGGACGCATAGTGGATAAACTATGGCAGGGTGAGCATCACACGATATATGTATAGCATGTGGAACATCCAAGCTACTGTATTTACCAGTACCATAGATGTTTGGATGGTGTCTTTGCAATGTGTCAATTTTTGATGGTCAGGTTTCTTAGTAGACATATTAGTGAGCATAAATCTGGATAAGATACAGGGTCAAATGAGTGAAAAAATGAATGTGACCGCATGTAATTATACAGCCATGTTCGTACACCTGAGGATGACCTCTTGAGGTCGAAACATATAGTGATAATAAAAAACGTGTTGTGTAGTCAGTAAATTCACTCTACTATTTCATAGTAAACAGCTTACATTCTCATATGTAAGTATTTGTCAGCATATTAAATGAAATGAGAATGTGTAATGCATCCTTGGAGGTAGGAAGAGGTGAAAGATGTTGAATATTCTATATTTGCAGGCAATAATCATAACAACATATTTCATATGCTTGGTATATGAAGTACATATATTATATCTTTTTGTAACAGGTACATTTGCAAAGGACCCACATGAAGTGTTTGACTTCGTAGTGAAACTGATTTCTCAGGCTAAGCGACGACCACCGGGACAGTTCCCATTAGAAGGTTGGTAAAATTCAAGGAACTCTTGTTCGTTATTTACATTTATATAAACTTTATGTATGATTTCTCAGAATTTTGTACTAAAAATGTTATATTTTCTAATTCATTGCAAATAACCCTTCAGCAAGGGCATTTAAATCCCTTGGTCTACTGTGTCCTGTGATAGAATTTTTAAGACTCCTTTTAATTTTTGCAGTGAAATTTTTAAATAGATTTAACTTTCAGTCAGTATGGAATAAAAGAAAGGCTTGTCTACTGCACTTCCACCTAAGGCAATTTTATAACCTGGTCATATTAATGATATGTTATATTTATTTATTTAAACACACGACACCTCTGTACACCTCGAGACCCGATCCTTCTATCCCGACACAAAATACACTGGTATTCTCGATCTCGTTCCTGTAAGAAAAAATACAGAGTAGGGCAGTAGGCATTCCTATAATATTACTAATATTAAAATCTACAAGTTAATTATTCTTGAAATATATGTTTACAAGTGATTAGAACTAGGATTTGCCCCCAAACAAGAGAAACTCTTCTATACTCTAGAAACAATGATCAAATAGGAATGTCTTTACTATAGGATTCTGACGATGGTGTATAACACACTGATATGTTGGGATTTTGGACTTTATCCATCGTCCTGGTTTTTAAGATAACAAATAAAAACCACGACGATGGATAAAGTCCAAAAACCCAACATATCAGTGTGTTATACACCATCGTCAGAATCCTATAGTAACTACCTTATTTGCTGTTTCTGTCCACAGCTCACCA